AAATCACTACGTAAAATGCTAAAAACCTAAAAAATTAATAGACAATGGGAAAACAAATGAATTCACTTATTGATCAACAAACTTGAAAAAATGTTTTAACCCTCTGGTAATAAAAAATGTAAATAAAGCATTAACAAACTATTTTTTTGAGATATATTTAGGCACTGCTTTTGTCAGAAAAAGTGATGTTCCTAGTGCTGGCAAGATATTGGTAACAATATAAATTGCTATACTTTTATTGGGAGTCAATTAGTTAATAGCAAGAGGTTGAAACTATTTACATTAGTTATGGCAAATATCTCTCCTTTGGTGAATTGACTGTGAGAAAATACTACTGATGTTTGAATATAAAGCAAAGTTTATTATCCTCAGAGAAGACAGTGTCCCCTTACATTTGATTCCTTACAAAAATTACAAGAAGCAATATTACAATGCTTTCATGCAGTCTTATTTTGCACAATTAAGCACAGTTTATTGAAGACCCAGTAACCTGGGATGATCTCAATCAATGCTAGTTCACAGATACTTATGGAAGTCAGCTGATGAGATTAGTGAAGAAGAGGACTAAGGAATTTAACAAAAATGTGGTAACTACTCTTGGGAGCACGCCTTCGAAATTATAACTGTTCAAATTTGTTTAAATAAATCTTTTAAAGGAAATGTCTTGTTGTGGACATCATGAATATTCACTTACAAGATAAAAGTCAAAACAACAGTTTAATATTTTGTGAATGGGTATTGTGGTTCAAAAATGCTTTAGTGACAGCTTCATATATGGATTCATAATGTGCTATAATTCAGACAACGGAGACACAAGTGAGTTTGATATGCTCCAGGAACATTTGTGAAGATTAAAAAAAGCAGCTCTATTGATGACAAATACATTGATTTGAAATGCTTGTGCAGAATTTGAATAAAATTTATGAACTATTAGAATGGAAAAAGGCAGCATTTCAGAATTAATGTACTATTTTATATAATATGTGATTTTAAATATGTATGTGTAACTAAATTAAAATATAAAAAAATTTTGAAGTAGAATTTGACTATTTCATGTACAATCTTAAGGGTTTACGTGTTCAAGTTGGCCAAAAACTTTAATTTAAGCTTCTATTTGAGGAAACGAGGGCTTACGTCAGGTTATATACATATATTAAGTATATATAAAGCTTTTATATATATAATTTCCTCATATACATATGTGATAACTTTAAATAATGAAAAATTTATAAGCACAGCTATGTTGATAATAGCAATTTTCCTTTCTTTTTTTTCTTTTTGAGGAAGATTAGCCCTGAGCTAACTGCTGCTAATCCTCCTCTTTTTGCTGAGGAAGACTGGCCCTGAGCTAGCATCCATCCCCGTCTTCCTCTACTTTATATGTGGGATGCCTGCCGCAGAATGGCTTGCCAAGTGGTGCCATGTCTGCACCAGGGATCCGAACCAGCGAACCCCGGGCTGCCAAATCGGAATGTGTGCACTTAACTGCTGCACCACCAGGCCGGCCTGCAATTTTTCTTTTTTGAGGAAGCCTAGCCATGAGCTAACATCTGCCGCCAATCCTCCTCTTTTTTTGTTGAGAAAGACTGACCCTGAGCTAACATCCGTGCCCATCTTTCTCTGCTTTGTATGTAGGACGCCTGCCACAGCATGGTTTATGACAAGCAGTGTTTAGGTCCGCACTTGGGATCCGAACTGGTGAACCCTGGGCTGCCGAAGTGGAAAGTGTGAACTTAACCTCTGTGCCACTGGGCAGCCCCCACAGCAATTTTTATAATAGGAAAAATGTAGAAGATGCCTCAATTCTAAGTCATAAGAGAACTGATTAGGTATAGTATGGTATGTTCCTGGATACAGTATTACTGTAGCTCATTAAAAATACTAATTAAGAGGGCCAGCCCTGGTGGCCTAGTGGTTAAGTTCAGTGCCCCAGTTTGATTCCTGTGAGCAGACTCACACTGCTAGGCTGTTAGTGGCCATGCTATGGTGGCAGCTTACATGAAAAAAAGAGGAAGATTGGCAACAGATGTTAGCTCAGTTTGAATCTTCCTCAGCAAAAAAAAAAAAAAAAAAGGATTAAAAAAATACTAGTTAGGAAAAGTATCAAATAACGTAGAGAATTTATTGCATAATGTTAAAAAAGATACACACGTATATAGAGTTTAATAATGATTACATATACAGAGTATGTGATAATCTATACATTAGAAAAGAAAACTAGGAAGGAATATGGAAAATAACTGGGTTGCTTTATTGTGGAAATCCTGATTTCCTTTCAACACAGAATTTTATAATTAATTTCAGGGAGGAAAAGAGCTGAAGTCATTGAGTTCTAGCTTCCGTACAATGTACACAACCTTTCCAGTGTGGTCATCTACCTGAACTTCTCTGACAGGGATGTTTATGTCACTGCTCAATGACTTTCACTGTTACAAATCTATTCCTGGTATTGAAACGAAATCTTTTTTCTCAGGTATCAGGGTTTTTTTTTTTTTTTTTTCCCATTGTCCCTGTTTCTTCCCTTTGCTGCAGGCCTCTCTTCACATGCAGGTTAACGATCTCTTTGGCTCTGAGCTCCAGCTGGGCCTCTTCCTGGACACAGGAAGAGAAGTGACTTCTCTGGAAGACTCCAGACTCTCCTTGAATGATCCACATTGAACCTCCAAATTAAGAGAGAACAAAGCTCCATCTTTCATTTTGGGTAAAATTCCTTAAGCTTTGGTAATTCTGCCCTGGCTTTAGTCTTTAGCTTATGGCATCATCTCTATTAAATTACAATGTCCCTCCCTCCCACCCCAACCTCAGAAAAGCTAAAGTATCCATCTATTTTCACTCAGTAAATACTATGAATTGGTTTCACATAATTTCTTGATGTCAGGTTTTGTTGGGAAGAGAACAAAAGAATATGAAGGCTGTGATGGGGAGGGGGTCCAAGGAATGGGCACAGAAAGATGAGAATGGGAGCCCCGGACGACCTAGTTTATGGTTTGCAGAGGGCTGGCAGCTGGCAGCCTCCCTGAGCTATTACCAAGAGTTTGGATTATTCTAGGCACAGTGAACCACTTTTTTTTTTTTTTGGAGGATTCTGCAGGATTCAAGGATTCTTAACTCCTTAAATTTTCACACTTTCTTTCAAAGACCCAAAGAAAACACACATCCAAATACTGGTCTTTATATTTTCTGAGAGATCAGGTTAATATCAATTCAAGTGATAAATACTCTGAGGCCACAACAGGATTTTCTCTGGTGTGACTGCCTTCGTTTCTCTCTTCACACTTTGTCCCTGCCCTTCCAATCTTTCTTAACTTTACTAAGTAGGCAGTACACAGTAAGGAGGATTTTCTTGGGGCAGAAAATAGTAAAATAAATCTATAGACTTAGGGAAAGCCAGGGTACAATCTCTTATAGACAATGTCTGTATGAGAACATCCTTGCAAGGCCTGGCATAAACTAGCAATGATATATATACTTTTTTTTTAATTAATGATGGGCACCTGAGCTAACATGGGTTGCTAATCTTCATTTTTTTCCTTCTTTTCCCCCAAGCCCTCTAGTACATAGCTGTACATTCTAGCTGTGAGTGCCTCTGGTTGTGCTATGTGGGACACCTCCTCAGCATGGCTTGATGAGCAGTGCCATGTCCACACCCAGGATCCGAACAGGTGAAACCCTGGGCTGCCGAAGCGGAGCACACAAACTTAACCACTCAGCCATGGGGCTGGCTCCAGCAATGATATTCTCATCAGCAGAAATCCCCATTGCCATTGCCCTCCATGTGCAGGGAGAAAGGGTCCTGCTGCTCATGGCTTTGAAAGCTTTTCCAGTGTATGATCACCACGTGGGATTCAGAGATGGGCAAGGTCAGTGACATAGGGAGGCATTACGTCAAAGCTTTGAATAGATTTGCAAGTTTTCCTAAGTACACGTAAAGTTGTAATACCTACTTTCAATTAATTCCCTTCATTCTCAGCCTTCTTAAATCTTATTGATGAACTCAGCCTTTTTTTTTTTTAAGATTGGCACCTGAGCTAACATCTGTTGCCAATATATACATATTTTCTTCTTCTTCCAAAAGCCCCCAGTACGTAGTTGTATATTCTATTTGTAGGTCCTTCTGGCTCTGCTATGTGTGATGCTGCCGCAGCATGGCTTGATGAGCGGTGCTAGGTCTGCGCCCAGGATCTGCACAGGCAAAAACACGGGTGGCCAAAGTGGAGCATGTGAACTTAACCATTCGGCCATGGGGCTGGCCCCAAACTCAGCCTTCTTAATTCCCAGCAGGAAGCATTAAATCCTGGAAGATTCTCAGGAGAAGGTCACCCAGTCTCTCTCTTTGAGCATTTGTTAGATGATTGATGGATCACAAATACGAGAATTTCTAAGAAGTTGATTCTCATGCCCTGTCTTGGTGGATGCTTCCTGGGTTGTTGGCGGTTGTGACCCACATCTGCTGTGAACTGGCCCAAAGCCAGAATCTTTTGTTTTCAAAATTGGAAATCAAATGTGGGGTGTTCGGGGTTCAGAAACCACAGGATGTGGACATATGAGTCTCTGATGCCTCCTAAGAAAGATGTATCTGTTGGGTTAGGCAGCTGGTGAGAAGACTGAGTAGCGGACATGAGCAGTTTCCCAGCACCCAAGTCCCATGCATCTCATCACTTTCCACCTTTGCCTTAGAACACAGGCTCTTCAAGGTTTATTAGCCAATCTGTATAGTCAGGTCTGGCTATTGGGATCAGTGTGATGGCATAAACAATGCTGAACAAGGAAATCCTTCCTCCAAGTGTGATGGAGACCAGATGGCTTGGCATATAGAAGCCAAGGAGTCGTGTCAGACCCATCCCAATCCCACCAGGAAAACAATATATCCAGAGAGAAAGTCACTATAGGAATAAAGTCTTTCTCTTGTTTTTCTCTTTAAAATAGAGATGAATAAATCCTGGTGCAAAATTGTCTACTTTGCATGTAATCAATCTACACTGTGCTGATCTTCCTTTATTTTGTATGTGGGTCACTGCCACAGCATGGCTGATGAATGTTGTAGGTCCACACTTGGGATCTGAACCCACAAGCCTGGGCCTTCAAAGTAGAGTGCACTGAACCCATCCACCATGCCACGGGGCTGGCCCCTAGAGTTTCATATTTCATCATTGAATTCTCTAGCAGCAGATGTATGTACAGGAACTTGGAGAAATACATCCAAATGGAAATATGGAGTGATTAGAGACCTGTTTATACATAGCCCTTCAAGTCTTCGCATTGGAGAGAGGTGAATATTTTACTCTGGAGTCAGATTCACTTACTTTACCTCGAGCCTCCAGACTAACACAAGACTCTATTGACTTGTCCCAGGTTGTGAGTAGACTAGGTTTGCCATAAATACATGGTAGAATGAGGTGTGGTATTAGAAGAACAAAAGTAGACCAGAGAGGTGGAGTTGTCTAAGGTGACAATGGTTCATTCTTTCATGGAAGGTGTGTGATCTGGATATCTCTAATTACAGTCCATTCCCTTGAATACAGAGGCATCCCTGGAGCTTCACAGGATCCATATATCCTGTGGAATTGAAGATTTAGTTGTGAGCCTTTACAGGAGTGATATGTAGATAGGCCAACCTTTTCCAATGGAAAGTTACAGTGATGAAGTAGGAGGAGCTGGATTTAGGTAGAAAATTTTGAGTCTTTCTAAGTCAGGCACCTTCCAGTGTCATAATCTCAATGGAGTTCAGGCACAGTCCCACAGTCCTACTTAGGGGACAGCTCTGTGAGAAAAATGCCCACGAATGGCACAAAGGGGTGCTAACTTTCTAGATCTGCATGAGTTGGGTTAGGACTGAATAGCCAAAAACAGGAATAGGAAGGGCATTGTTTTGTATCATTTCCTTGTTGAGATGCAAATGGTCTTGGAACATCATTTTGGGATGGTGTATCTCTCAGCATCAGAGTCTGGGAGGAAGAACAGAGAGATGGAAAATTTGTAGAGTATCAACACCGTGTGAGTAGATTTCAAAGAGGGTAATATGAAATTATAAGACGGAGGCCTAAGGATCAAGATTAGAGAAAGATATTTAGAAATAAATTCTGCAGAAGAGGCTAAGTGAATGATTGGGTATGGAGCAATCACATTGAGAGCATTTTTTTTACTGATGTTGTACTGCCTCAAGATAGTCCAAGCTTGAGGACTTTGCTCTCAATAGTTGCCTGGAATAGCAGAGGAATGGAAGAGAAAATCTCTCTGTAGAATTTTCTTAAGAAATTCAAAATTTAACTTGTGCATTGACCTTATAAGGGAAATGAAAATGCACAGAAAAGCCCTTTGGGTGCTAGTTTCAGAAGGGAAATACTAGAAAATAGAAAAAAGCCACAGAATTTACAGAAAAAATAGGAAATTCCATGCTTAGTGGATAGTCGTATTTAACGAAGTTTGGAACATATGATTTTCCATCAGAATGTCAGTAACAACATTTAAGTGAACTTAGGTCTGGATGTCCTGTATTGAGTAAAAACGGCAGCTGCTAATTTCTGTGAGTTCAATTAGGGAGACACAGGGGACAATTAGCTTGATCTTAGAAAGATGGCACTTGTTGCTTATCCAACTGGTTCAGGATGATTTAATCAATAGCAGATAGGGATGGATTTGCTTTTGGGAGATTGTTGTCTGAAGACTAGGTTGGAGCACATATTCCTATGGTGAATATTTCCAGTCCAGTACACTTCACAAAGTTCTCTGGATTGTTGTTTTCTATTGTTTTAGATTGTTCTCTTTTCCTATACCCACAGCTAACTCTCAGTCTTGGAAACTGGCATCGCCAAGAGGATGGGTCTTGGATCCATGGCTATTCCAGAGTCAAGGCCCTGACAGTCACCAGTGCTGCTTTAAGGGCAGATAACGTGTGGATAACAAGAAGTGACAGGGTGATGTGAAGTACTGATCAGGTATCACTGACATACAGTAGAGTCAGCATTAGAACGAACAATTATGGCTGATGAAGGCCTAAAAACCAATCAATCTGTCTTTAAGTTCATCTTCCCAAACTGCAAAGTGAAGCATTTAGACAAATGTCTGTAGAGATTTGAATTCAGAAATTCGATATGGAATGGCTCCGATAACTCTCTTTGCAACAGAATCAACATGAATCAACCCAAAGAATGCTGTTTAAAGAAATATCTTTTGTAGTCCCCAAATGTGGCTACAAGAGCATGAGGAAAGGCCAGTTTAACCCAAGGATGAATAGCAGTGAGTGAGAGGCCAGCAGCTAGGGATCACCTCTTCTGGTCTGGTCAACTTCCTGGCATCCTTTCAGGGTCACTGAAAAAGGAGGGGTGGCTACCTGTTGTGTTCATCACTGGGGGTACAGTAGGCAGGCTGAGGATTTCCCTGGGAAATGACACTTTACCTAGACGGTTTTTGTACAGGTCTCTGTGGGTTTTGTATCACTGTGGTATCCCACTCCTCACAGTGTTACTGAGTTTTACAAAAACCACCCCTTGGTTTCTCCCTATGTGGCCTTTGAGAACTCCTGGGGCTTGATGCTTTCTCCAAGTCAAGCAAGATCAAAGGGTTTTGGCGGTTAGGTGCTGGCAGCCTCACCCAGGTGCTTCTGTCTGAAGCTCTACCAGCTGGCTAGATCTGCCCTGCATTTTGCCACTAGAATGGACTTTCAGAAATCATCCTGCCCACTCCCATCTGTGCTTTCTTGCCAGTCTACTCTCACATGGCTTCCCACAGAGGAATTCGTCATATATCTGAATGTCTCAAGTGAATTCTATGTCCTCTATATTAGGTGGAAAATGTTTGTAGTTAGTGTAATATCTCCTGTTACCTACTCATCTTCAGAATCACCTCTGCCTACCCCACTTTACACCTGAGCAGGGTTATACAGTTTACAAAGGGCTTTCACATAAATTGAAAATGTTCTCCTCTCCATGGACTCTCTGGTTGCTAAATTCATGGCCTGCAGCCCATATGGTGCTTTGTGTGGTTTACAAAAGATAAGCCCTGCTGTGTGAGTGCAGAGGCAGCCCTGAGAGTTCAAGCTTGGCAATGAGATGGCACCTTTGTGTGCCTTATAAACATTCTCCTTTATCCAGTTGATGCTGCTCTGCACCAGGGCCTTGGCTCGGCAGGCAGAAAATGGGAGGAATTTTAGCCCCACTGTCCTCTTGGCTGAGCACCCATGTGCAAGGCACAATCTGTGCAACTAGAGACAGTGGCTCCTGACAAATTCTATTGATGCTTTTTACTTATATTCTTGTTTGACCTCTGAGCTTTGACATAGGCATTCTCATTTTGAAAACTGTCCTCTGGTGCTCTTAAGAAACCTGTCTTGGTTCGCCTTTGATCTCTGTGTCTATCACTGTGAAAATAAAGTCGTATGCTAGGCTTACTGAGAGTGATCTTACTAAATGTTAATTTAATAAGGAGAGTGTGAATTTTGCTGTTGTTGTTATCAAAAGGGAGCACGATTGAAAAAAGATTGACTCCACACTTCCCGTGGTGGATCTTACCTAAATCCATGGATTAATGGATAACATTTTTATCACAATTCCACTTACAATCATTGTGACAATTCCTTCCCACCTTACATTAGACCCTGCATGCCTGTCCCGTAAACTCAAAGCAACTTCATCTGCATATACAGAGTCTAACACTCATTTGCTAGTTAAAAACCCAAAAAACAAAGGAGAAGAGGAAAAGAAGAAATGCTATGTTCTTGGTAACAAACAATGTAATAGAGGATGGCTTAGGGCAGAAAGAAGGACAATGTGGGCCTCGTGGGGAGGGCCAGGTGAGAAAGAAGAATTGTAATTTGCACTCTTGAGTATAGCTGGTTTTATGTGCTGGTCTCTGAAATGGCAAAAGGTGGGTGGTTACTGTGTTGAATAATAAATTAAGCTTCTGATTAATCCCTGTGAGACTCATTGACTCCCTCCTGGCGCTGGTGTACAGATGTTCCCAAGCAACCCTCAGAAAGTGGTTTGAATAGAACAAGTTATAGGCAACACAAAGTTGGGAATGAAAGGCAATTAAAATCTTGAGTAATACCAAAACTTAAACTATGAAACCTGTGGGTCTGGGCCAGTGAATTTTATAATCCTGTGGCTGTGGCAGAGAATTTGAGGATGATGCATCCAGATGAAAATACAGAAGTTATGGGTCCCAATTTTCACTCTCTCTCTGCAACAGAAGTACACCTTCATGTACTTTGTCACCTGACTTTACAGGGCATCCTACTACAGGGAGAGTACAAATCCCACTCCATTGACTTTGGGCCTTGGCCATTCTTTGATCCAGAGAATGTGGTTGGAAGTCACAGTGTGCCAGTTCTAAGCTAAGGCTCTAAGAAGCATCCCATCATGGATTTCCATGAGCACTCTTGAAGCCAAGTTCTGCTGGCTTGCAGACCAATGAGCAAAAACAACATACATTTGATGTTGTAAGCAACTGAAATTTTGGGGTTGTTTTTTATAGATTGTAATCATAGCAGAAATAGATGATTCATACTGATGCTAACCATGGGGGGGACCCCAAGTATGAAATTGTATGCTTAAAATTTCTGGTGGCTCCCCTTGTCTTCAAGATAAAATGGTACAAAACATGGTTTTTTGCTTACCTCCTGGGCCTACATCTTGTACTTTTCCACTTGCTCCCTTACTCAGCTGCATTCAACGACTTGCTTTCAGAAGGCTCCATGTTCTTTCAAACCTCTTTGCCTATGCTGTGTGATTGTTTTGCCTGAGATGCCCTTTCCTTCTTCTATTCTCCAATTTGGTTCTTAACCAACCTCCTTAGATCCTGTTCATTTTCTGGTCTTAGCTTATCTGTTGACTTCCCTGGGAAGTCCTTAATGGTGGTGTGAGGGATCAGAATTGGCCACCCCAAAATCTGTCTCTTTGGCTTGATTATTTTTAAGAACAAAAGACTCTGAAAAAACTTTGACCTTTCCCCTAACTGCCTGAAAGAATTTAAGATAGAAGGCCTGTTCCAGGAAGGAACTGATACCATAAGATAACTATAGTATAATGTAAAGTCAGTGTGATAGGAAGGTACCAACAAGCCCATTTTTATCAAAGTTTTGCCTACAGGTGGCTCTGCAAACACTTGTTTAACAAACACTTGCATTTGCATCTCCATGTAAATTGTCTTCCTCCCTTTTGAAGACCCAAACCACTACCACAACACCCTCCTTTTCTTTAGCCGAACATGGTATTTAAGGTGGCAGCTTTGGCTTTCCTGGGTTTCTCCCATGTATACATGCTATTATATTTTGTTTTATTTTTTCCTGTTCTTCTGTCTCATGTCGATTTAATTTTTGGACCAGCCCGAAGTATCTAGAGGAGAGAGGAATTGTCTTCCTCCTCTCCAGTTTGGTGATGAAGGTGGAATAAAACTTCACTGGCTGGACACTGCTTGCTCCTGGACTACTGCAACTAAGAGATCCTGGATCCCTGACAAGAGCTGGCAAGAGGTAAGAGTTCTCATTCCATCTGTCTCCCAGATCTCTGCCTGCAGCATCCAATGGAAGCAAGAGTGTTGAGGTTTTTCCCTTTTCTAAATTCAGGTTAGCGGGAGAAAATATTGGTGATGCTAGCTTCTTGGACTCAGTGACTCTGGGAAATTTGGCTTGAATACTCATTGGTTTATGGATCCTTCTCCTCCAAGAGATGGCCACTCTGTCATTTGTTCCTTTTGTCATAAAAACAAAAAACCACAGGGCAAGATGCAGGCACCTCTATAAGCCTGTTGTCTGGGAATATGTGCATGAAGAGGAAACTGTTGCTAAGAGCATCTCTGAAGACAAAGAGGGCACAAACTTGGTGGCCCCCAGTCAAGCACTTAAGAGCTATTAGGGCACTCGCCACCTCAAGGAGACTCCCATGATCAGATAAGTTGGTCACAGAATGGGGTAGATGACACAGGTCCCCCATCAACATCAAGGAAATTTCTGTGCAACTAGGTGCTCTATAAAACAACACACAATCCCCAACCCCATGGCACCTCACTTCTAAGTATTAGTCTGGTTCCAAGAGATCCAAAGTTTAGCTAAAGCTGTTAATGTTCATATAAGGTGAGGGTTTTTCTTTTGTTTTGTTCTATGTCTTGAGAGCTTGCTTTGTGACCTTCCGGTCTCCACCTTATGGAGGATGCAAATACCAGTGTGTATCTTGGTGGCCAGTTGAGTAGACTGCGGTTCTGAGATGGACTACTCTCTTCATCTAGATGTGTCAGCTCTCAGGGGAGTTTGTTTTAAGGAGTCTCCATTGCTTTCATTAGGGGCCTTTGTTGTCTCACTCTTTGTTGCTTGTTAATGCTGGTACAAACTGCCTGTGCAATGAAGTTCTTTACTTTCTTAGACCATCTTTGGGAGTGAACTTTTGCACTTCTTTTGGGGATGGCTTTCGTGCCCATGGCTAATCCATAAAGACTTATTGGTTTGAGTAATTATTAAGATCCTACTCATCAATTTGATGAGATGATGGATCATTAATTGGAAAAACTTCTAAATTGAAAAAAAATTTTTAGAGAGCTCTCATCACATTTGTTTTATTGGTAATTATGAAAAGACAAAATTAAAAAGGAAATACAAAAAAAAAAATGACTAGCCTTAAGAACCTGACTCAGGCTACAATAAAATTGAAAAAAAGTAAAAGTCTTGATAAGATTGTAAGTGTTGTAATGTTTGAGCTAATATTATATGAAGAGATTATATCAACTTTTCGAGTGTGCTTTGGAAATGCACGTTATGCCTGGCTGTGGAATGCTTCCTCTATCCAAAATTATAAGACCAAGACCTATTGATAAATTCCTAATGAAAGCTATGATTAGAGGTATAAGAGTTATTCTTATGAATTCAGATGGAATTTTGCAGGAAAATTGATACACTGATGGGCTTTATGTGAAGTGATTGCATCTCTTTTGCATGATTGTATTAGAAATGGTATTGTGGGGATAGACATTGTGTCTCATGGGGAATGTTTCCCCTGCTTGATTGTAAGACAGCATATAAATCTGCCCTTCAGACAATGTTAATTAAATATGCTAAAGGACATTGATAGGGTTGTCTGAGCCCACTCTGTATGAGATAAAAACTAGAGGTTACTATCAGGTGATAAGAAAAAAGATAATAAACCTCCCCCACACCCCAAAATAAATTGGTGTATAATTAAATTGTACATGTAGAAAGAGGGCCTCTATTAAATGCTTTGTGCAGACTTTTAAAGGTGCAGTACATTGTCCTGAAGTTTTAAAAAATAGTTGTGGAGTCTTTGTGTAAATATGTCTATATGTATGTTATATATGCGTGATATTTTACCTCCAGATGGTATGGCCAAAATTAAGAGCTCTGTTTAATTGGCTTAAAGTAAGCATTTATATAAGTTATTTCTAAATGTATTAGAAAATAACTCAAATATCTTTCATGTTAAGATGATATTAAATAATCTTTGGTAAATGAAAGCTTGCTTATATTTGTTGGTTTGATTGAGATAGGCATGTCCTCAGAGTTGTCAATATTTGGCTATGATGCAGACATGCAGCATGGGTTTACTACTCATAAGCTGATATTATCCCTGCCACAAATTTCTCAGCAAAATGATAGCTTTAAATAACTGATTTTGTCTAATGTCTCATAAAGTTTTAATGGGTAATTTAAACATATTGTTGGTAGCAATGATATAGATGTAAGTGAGATAAAAGTTTATAGGTAAACTTTTAGCAATAATTATAGTTTATGGATGTGTACTTAAAATAACTTCCAAATTCTCCTTGGTAACTTGAAAGTCTGAAGTTTTGCTCAGTTAAATTAAGTGATAAAAATTCAATGAATATCTAGATCATCTCTAAATGAGATAAAATATTAGACATTAATTATTAAAGACAGGTTTACCTACTTTTGGCTTCTTATTACAGAAAAACTAAAACGTCTTGTATTTATTGAAGATTGTACTATGCAGTAGCATGTCTCTAGATATTATAAAAAGTGTTTATAAATTTGCCAAGCCACAGAACTCTAATGTAAAAAAAGTTCATAATTGCTTACTTCTCAGTTTTCACTAAAATTTAATAATGAAAACATCTTAGCATTCAACAAAAGTAAGATGTATGTTTTCAATAAAAAAGGGGATAAAAATATAGAGATATTTTTGTTTGTTAAGAAGCTTTAAAAAGTCTGTAAAGAAAAATAAATATCAAAAGTAAGCTGATGCAAAATTAGAGTTTGTTTTTTTCCCTCTCTTAAAAGGATAATTTACTTAAACTTTTAGTCTGCTCTTGGTAAAGAGATTATAAATGGTTTTTCTTCACCTTTGAGTAAATCTACATAAAAGAGAAAAAAATCTATGTTTAGTCAAAATAATTTCCTCTCTTCAAAAAGGCTGAGGTCTCTCAAGGCCTTTTCCCTACGTTTGCCATTAACATCTTCTGTTATCACTTTGGTTAAGTGGATAACTAGGCAATGTTTCATAGGGACCTATGATATTGTGTGGGTAAATGTTATTGATGTGCATCTTTAAAAAATTATATAAGATTCTTAAAATGCTGATCTGTCCTGGTTATCAGTCATATTTCTACTTATTATATTAAAGTGTTGTATGTCACAGACATAACCAAATATCTTTGTTGATTGCCATTTTTAAGACTTTTGTTGTTTACTGATATTTATTGTTTTACTCTGAGGCTTTTGTGAATGTTTCATCTTCAAAAAGATATGTGGAATGGACTCTGATGCTTACTCTAGAATACAGGTTTCTGATCAACTTTCAGATAACAAAACTAAACAGTCTGAAATTACAGAACTCTAACATAGAAACTAATGACTTCATGACACTGCTAACAGAAGATCAAGATCAAGAGATGATTACCTGAGACTAAATGAACTGATGAGGATGATTATATTTTTTATGACTTTTCATTTAAAATATTGCTAATTTTTTAAATGTTCTGTTTTTTCAGATTTAAGGAAAACTTTTTCTCTTTTCTCTTAAGCTAACTATGACTTATAGCAATTTGGTAAATTATTATTTTGTAAGCAGAATTGAAACATTTATCTTTTTCTCTCTACCTGATCTCTCCAGAATTTGGAAACTCCTAGTGAATAAATATTTCTATTTTTATGACGATACAGTTATTTGCATAAGTTCAATAAGGACCTGTTCTCCTTATAACAGGACACAATTGTAAACATTGGTTATATTCCCAAAAGCTTTGACTGGAATGTCATATTTGAGAGAAACATACACAGACTCAGGTATAACCAGACAGCTTTTGAGGAATAAAGGTTGACTTTGTGAAATCAAGCCACTTGGAAAGCCACTTGGTGAAATAAAGCCACAGGGTTTCCAACAACCTTACCAGGTGAGTAAAGAAGGTCACTGTCCTGGTAGATATAAAAAAACCCCTCAGGATACTTTGGGGGAACTTGAGAGAAGAGAGGAATTCACCCAAATCTAAGGTATTGCATCAAGTCTTATGATATGTCCTTGGCTTTGCTGTCCTGGCCTTGAGAGGCCTATAAAGTTCAACCTGAGATTCCTTATGAAAAGTTCCAGCAAAGCAGATTTAAAAGAGCCTAGATAAACAATTGCTATTCTTGCTGTCCTTATGTAACTAATTCGGCCAAGTTGATTGAAGCTAGACATTTTACAAACCAATTACTCTTAATTTGGTTATCTTAGTTAAAAATGAAGGTGATTTTAAAGTGAAAAGTTATGTTTCAGTAGAAACTATAATACACTTTGTGAATATTAGATTCTAGTTCTATAAATTGTCCTTGAGGTTTTGTTTCATATGTGCATGCTGCAGTAGATCCTGAATTCTTCTAGTCTCCTGAAATATCTGACTAAAAATCTCCAAACTAATGTTTTCAATTTTTTCCCATCATTTTCAATTGGAATTATTGAGAACTGAAAATACCCTTGTTCCTGAAGCTCTACAGACTCAAGTTGGATGACTTGATGTAAACTTCAGAGAGACTCATGCCTGTTACTGTGTAAGCCACTCAAAAGGATGCCTGAACACCCAATGACACTATCAGAGACATTTCAAACTGCAAAAGATGCTTCAACACTGACATCTAGAAATCTTCTTGACTGACTGTCCCCTGGACTCAGAAACTGGTTTATAATTTGCTCCAACCATTAACTTTGTTTTTCTTTTTGTTTCCATAGAAATGCTTTTTATTAAATACCTGATTGCTTGCTTATACAACATAGGCTTAGCTTTTCGAGCCCACCTGCATCACTGCTTTTTGAAGTGAATTTAGCTGAAGTCATCTATTATCAGCACTAAGAGACCTGTTCAGTGACATGGAAAATCTACCAACTTAGATTCTGGACTGTGAACCTTCTTAAAAATGTCAAAGTTGGGACTGTAGGGGAAGAGGACTGGCCACCCCAAAATGTATGTATTTGGCTTGATTATTTTTAGGAACAGAAGACTCTGAAAGAAACAGACCTTCCCTTTAATTGCCTA